GCAGCTTAATCCCCAGTGCAACAGTACTGCGAACTGTGGCCTTTGGGAGGACTTTGAGTCTTAAGGCCTCCACTCATCAGTAGGCTCGGTAAATATCAATGGAGTATAATTTAAAATTTTGTTTTTATTGCTTATAAAATATCTTTTTAAAGACCAGGTTTGAGGTTTGCAAATTAGCAATCAAACGTGCAAATCTTATACTCATTACAGTTTGTGATAAGCCCAAAGGATAGATTTTAAAGGAAGACCCTTGTAAGAGCATCTCAAGCTGGAGATAAGTGAGTGCAACTTTATTGGTAGATGTGTTCCAGTGGTGGTGATATTATGCCTGCCAAGGGTCAGGTCCTGCCAGATTGATAAAGTTCCCCAGTGGTTGCTGCTATGGTTTCAGTGATGATGTCCCCTCTGCAATTACGTTGAAACTTAATCCCCAGTGCAACAGTACTCAGAATTGTGGCCTTTGGAAGGAGATTGAGTTTAAGGCCTCCACTCTCATGAATAGGATTGGCAACCTTATAAAAGGGTTTGAAGTTGAAGGCAGTGTTCTCTTGCACTTCTGCCTTATGCCATATGAGGAAGCCCCCAAGCAGGCACCGAATGCTGGGCCTTGATCTTAGACTTCTCAGCCCTCACAATTGTGGGAAATAAATGTCTGTTGTTTATAAATTACCCAGTTTTGGTGTTTTTTTTTTTTTTTTTTTTTTAAATTAACTCTGCATTGCTTGAGGAAGTTTGTGTTATTTCGTTATAGTAGCACAAATAGACTAAGACAGGTCCCAACTCCAATTATGCCATTGTGGCATTAAGCTTAATTACTTTATTTGATTGTAAAAATTGCCTTTATTCAAGCTCTATCACCTGATTCTGATATCTGTGTTCTGAGTTTAATTTCTTCCTGTGTCACCAGGATCATCTTGCTATGCTCCCTTTGATAGACATAATAATGACGCTTCAGTGATGGCCACACCCTAATCCCTGAAACCTGTGACTAGGTTACCTTACATGGCAAAAGGCAATTAAGATTGCTAATTGAGGCCCGACGAGGTGGCTCAAGCCTGTAATCCCAGCACTTTGGGAGGCTGAGGCGGGTGGATCACGAGGTCAAGAGATCGAGACCATCCTGGTCAACACGGTGAAACCCCGTCTCTACTGAAAATACAAAAAAATTAGTTGGGCATGGTGGCGTGTGCCTGTAATCCCAGCTACTCAGGAGGCTGAGGCAGGAGAATTGCCTGAACCCAGGAGGCGGAGGTTGCGGTGAGCCGAGATCGGGCCATCGCACTCCAGCCTGGGTAACGAGTGAAACTCCGTCCCAAAAAAAAAAAAAAGATTGCTAATTGATTGACTTTAAAATAAGGATATTATTATTGTGTTGGCCCAGTATAATCACGAGGATTCTTTTTTTTTTTTTTTTGAGACGGAGTTTCGCTCTTGTTACCCAGGCTGGAGTGCAATGGCGCGATCTCGGCTCACTGCAACCTCCGCCTCCTGGGTTCAGGCAATTCTCCTGCCCCAGCCTCCTGAGTAGCTGGGATTACAGGCACGTGCCACCATGCCCAGCTGATTTTTTGTATTTTTAGTAGAGAAGGGGTTTCACCGTGTTGGATGGTCTCGATCTCTTGACCTTGTGATCCACCCGCCTCGGCCTCCCAAAGTGCTGGGATTACAGGCATGAGCCACCGCGCCTGGCCAAGGATTCTTAAAAGTAGAAGAGAGAAGCAGAACGGGAGGTCAGCATAATAGGATGTGAGAAGAACCCGCTGTTGCTGGCTTAAGATGGAGGAAGAAGGCCATGAAGCAAGGAATATGAGGTGCCTACTACGAGTTGGAAAGGGCAAGGAAACAGATTCTTTTTTAGAAAAAGGAATGCAGGCAGACCTGCCAAAACCCTGATTTTAGCCCAGTGAGACCCATTGCAGACTTCTGAACTACAAAACTATAAGATAACGTTTGTGTGTTTTAAGCTAAGTTGTGGTAATTTATTAAAGCAACCATGGAAAACTGCCTGTAAATTGGGCATAAAATAATTTATGGCAGTAAGTTATATATTAATGAATTGGAATCATATTTTCAGTTTCTTTTCAATCTTGTACTAAGGAACAGTCTTTGGGAAATTATTATCTATGTTAGCAGGCTTAGGATAGACTCTGTACAATGGGCCTGGCCATAGTTTATCACACACACTGTCTTACTCATTTTTATGTCCCCAGCACTTAGTACAATGCCACAGAGTAGAAGCACAGTAACAGTTTGGGGGATAAATGAATACACTTGTTGTAATTACATCTAAACCCAGGGATTGCTGCTGATTATGTATTATCAATTTATGTTCATTGTCTTTCATGTGATAAAGGTGGGATGCTTGACTAGAGAAATAGGTTTGGATGACGGTTCTCAAACTTTAGTGTCCATTGGTATCACCTGAAGGCCTTGGTGAAACAGATTGCTGGGCTCCACTCTCAGAATTTATGATGCATAGGTTTGGGGTTGAGCCTAAATGTTTGCATTTCTAACAAGTTCCTAGGTTAAAGTGATGTTGCTGTTCTGGGGACCACACTTTGGGGCATTTTATGCCTCTGTCCCTCTCAGATGTCTTCTCAGGGGACAAACTAGCTCTGCATGTTTTCCAAGAATTATCTGCTTTTCTTTTTGTAGCCACCCATTCTATTCTTAGGCATTTTACTGTATAGGCCTGGCTAACATATTTAGTAGTTTTCCTAAGGTTCATTCTTCCACCCCCAGCCTTGTTGCCTCAGAAAATAATGATTCACTTAGTTCCTCTCATTTTAAGAGTAATATAGGATAATACAATCAAATATTAAAAATATCTAAAAAATGAAATGGAGAAGTTTAAAAGATGGCAAATTCTTTTAACAACTTCTGTTATTGACAAGAAGGTATAATTTCTCACTCCATTCTGAGGTGGTTACTCTCTTGGAATTTACCCTAAACACATACTGCTTCCATAAAAATACATTCAACATACATATATTATTGTACTTACCATACTATTTTGTAATTTTGTTTATCTTCTCCACTAGATTGAGTTCTTCTTTCTTCACCTCTTAAATAGTACTTACACTAGTTTATATGTGCTGGATAATGTTGTAGAATGAAGGAACAAATAAATAACCAAATGGACCCTAGGTTTTTACTTTCATTTCTAAGAGACGGTCAGGCTCATCAGCTTTTCTAACCTCTTGTAAAACTTCTGGAGAGGCAGAGTGATCACTACTTACTTGCTTCAAAGGGATAAATTGAAGCTCTGAAAACTTCATTCTAGGTGACACTTGTTCAACTAAGTCACCCATCATGCCTTCTAACCTCATCACATAAATGCATTTGAAAACTTCTTAAAAAGGTTTCTCCATTCTTGCTTTATGTGATTGACGTCTTATTTGGCTATGTTCTTGTCAGTCACTTGTAAAATTAAACTTTTTTTTTTCTGTCTGGAAACTTACAAGATCTTCTGTTCATTGCCATTGTTTGAAATTTTATGTTAATATACTTTGATGCGGTTCTACTTTTATTTATTGTGTTTGGCTTATATGGTCCTTTCAATTTGAAATTTTGGTGTTTTAAAAAATTATGTAGTTTTTTAAAAATGAAAAAGACAGTAAATGCACATGGCAAAAAAAATCAACATGCAAAGATATATAATGAAAGGAAATCTTCTCTCATAACAGTCTTCTCCACAGAGACAGTAGACTCTCTCCTTATATTCCCCTTGATGCTAATTATTAAAAGGAGCTCTTTGGAAATTGTTGGGAATACCCCATCTCATTACATGATCATGGTAGTGTACATAGGTATTTTTAAAACAATGCTGGATGTTGTTGCTAGTTTAATATTGTCTCTCTGCTTATTTAATTTTGGCACTGTATTATATATTATGTAAAGTAACTTAACCAAACTGCTAGGGAAGTAGTACTACTACCAGAGCATTAACTTAGTAATAATACTTTCCTTAATGTCTTTTATTTCTGTTTGATATCCTGTCATTTATTCTGTGCTACTTCTGTGAATAAAGTATTCATATGATACATGCATGGGTAACAATAATAATTTAATCATTATTGACTAATGAATAACTGATAGGCCCAATGCAAGAGAAATATACTTAGTAATATTCAACAAATGTTTATTGAATGCCTACTGGCCTGAAGCAAGATCAGTGATACTACTAATTTTTTGTTTTCTTTAGGCATGCCTTCAGCTATTATGTATGAATTTTGGGACTGTTTCATCATTTTTACAGTGTTGAAAAGTGATAGTCTTATTTTACGTCTCTCTATATTGTTCAAGTCTTTTTTGCAAAAATATCACAAAGTCATTTCTTTTAAAAAGTGTATTTTTTAATATATATACCATATGATGGCAGTGTTAAACAGTATCTGGAGATTAGTAAGGTGGTTGATGGTTTGTGAATGTGTGAGTATACATGCATGTTCGGAAAATATCTATCAAAAATAAAGTCTTGCATTTGCTAAGAAATAACTCTTAACATATAAAATGTACCAAAGACCCAATTATGCAAATTGTCAAATTTTAAGTGATTAAGGATAATCAATTTTATTGTCTCCTAAACCTAAACTGCAAGCATATGTTTATTTCGTAGTCATTTGAGGGAAATAATATTTTTCTTTCATCAACAAATTTCTTCTAATGGACCATATTATTTTGCATAAGAGGAAGGATTACTTATTATTTGTTCTTATACATTGTAGTTATTCTATGTAGGTTCTTTCTTACTGCTAAATTTCCTTTCAGTAGGATTTACTAGACAGTTTTGAAGCCATGCTACAGTAACTTTTATCTATTTTCCATTAATTAAATATTAAATTCCAGACTGATAATTGAGTCATTGGAAATAAAGCATATAACTAAAGACATTCTTACCAATAATATCTAGAAATCATGTACACTGTTTTCATATATTAAGAATTTTAACAATGACTTTGTAGTATAAATATTAGCTTCATCTAACTTTTCTTTGCCAGATGATGGACCTAGCCAAAGAGACTCTGCTACTGAGACTGCCATGACACTACCAAGTGAATCCAGAGTCAATGTACACGCCATCATCACATTAAAAATGTTAGACTATAGGTATGTAATTCACTATTATTATTATTATTGTTATTACTTTGTAGAAGTAGGGTCTCAGTGTTACCCAGGCTGGTCTTGAATTTCTTGGGCTCAAGCAATCCTCCTGCGTTGGCCTCCCAAAGTGCTAGGATTATAGGCTTGAGCTACCATGTCTGGCCTAATTTATTTTTTAAAAAATATTACCATACACATAGGAAGCTTCTCAGAAGGAAACCCTTCAGAAAAAAGACAATTGTTGAGGAAAAATTCATTAGAGTACTTGACCTAGAATAATGGTAATTGCAAAAAAACCATGATGAAATATAAGGATATTAAAAGTGTAATAAAAAATAGAATGATATTAAAAGTATACATGACCTTCAGTGCTCATTCCTTTTGCAGTTTGTGTTTTATTATGCTTGAGAGATAGATGGTTTTGTTAAGTGATATTTTTTATGGGAAAATTTTATTATTATTAAAAAAAGAATGACAATATTGATAATAAAGTTCTCTAACTCAGTAACCAGCATCCAGAGAGAATTTTTTATTGATGGTGGATGTCTATGTTAGTAAATAAGAAATTACTATTATATAATTAATGAAAACCTTGATCAGCAGGCAAAGCTTGAGAGGTTGTACCCTGCTAATTTTATCTGAACATAAGTCAAATAATATAGTAATAATGTGCTCTGGTAGCAAATATACCAAAGCTAAAAAATTACAATGTTAGTATATAAATTGAGGTCAACCAAAAAATTTTAAATATTTTTTTTGAAAGTATATTAAATTGGAAAAGAAGATACCTATACAGAGATTGAAGGTAGTTGTCAAGGATCGTTTCAGTACTGTCTAAGGCACCAACCACCAAAAAATAAGCAAAACTGTCAAAGTTTTTGTAGCAATTGGTTCATTTATGGGTATTGTAGTGAAAATACAAAAGAATATAAACTCAAGTCACTAGATTTATTGAAGTATCTACACAACCAACATTTGTGTATGGTCTTTTTAAAGTATCAGTAAGAACTATCTTCTTAGCAGTCAGGATACAGTTTCCATTTCACACTTGTTGTGTTTCATTCACATTATTCTCACCTCTTGCCTGCCACTCTTAGAAATCACTACTGTAAGCAGCAAAATGACAGGATCACATTCACACATAACAATATTAACCTTAAATGTAAATGGGCTAAAGGCCCCAATCAAAAGACACAGACTGGCAAATTGGATAAAAAGTCAAAACCCTTCAGTGTGATGTATCCAGAAAACCCATCTCACATGCAAAGACACACATAGGCTCAAAATAAAGGGATTGAGGAAGATTTACCAAGCAAATGGAGAGCGAGAAAAAACAGGAGTTGCAATTCTAGTCTCTGATAAAATAGACTTTAAACCAACAGAGATCAAAAGAGACAAAGAAGAACACTACATAATAGCAAAAGGATCAATGCAACCAGAGAAGCTAACGATCCTAAATATATACACACCCAATACAGGAGCACCCAGATACATAAAGCAAGTTCTTAATGACCTACAAAGAGACTTAGACTCCCAAACAATAATAGTGGGAGACTTTAACGCTCCACTGTCAATATTAGACAGATGAACAAGACAGAAAATTAAGGTTATCCAGGACTTGAACTCAAATCTGGACCAAGTGGACCTAATAGACATCTACAGAAATCTTTACCCCAAATCCACAGACTATACATTCTTCTCAGCACCACATCACACATACTCTAAAACTGACCACATAATTGGAAGTAAATCACTCCTCAGCAAATGCAAAAGAATGTAAATCATAACAAACAGTCTCTAGACCACAGTGCACTCAAATTAGAACTCAGGATTAAGAAACTTACTTAGAATGGCACAACTTCATGGAGACTGAACAACTGGCTCTTGAATGTTGACTGGATAAACAATGAAATGAAGGCAGAAATAAAGATATTCTTTGAAACCAACGAGAACAAAGACACAATGTACCAGAATCTCTGGGACACATTTAAAACAGTGTCTAGAGGAAAATGTATAGCAATAAATGCCCATGTGAGAAGCAAGGAAACATGTAAAATTGACACCCTATCATCAAAATTGGAAGAGCTAGAGGAGCATGATAAAAAAAAAAAAAAAACCCTTGAAAGCCAGCAGAAGACAAGAAATAACTAAGATGAGAGTAGAACTGAAGGAGATAGAGACACAAAAAACGCTTCAAAAAATCAATAAATCCAGGAGGTGGTTTTTTGAAAAGATCAACAAAATAAATAGACCACTACCCAGATTAATAAAAAAAGAGAGAAGAATCAAATAGAAGCAATAAAAAAACCATTAAAGGGATATCACCACTGATTCCACAGAAATACAAACTACCATCAGCGATTACTACAAACAACTCTATTCACATAAACCAGTAAACCTGGAAGAAATGGATAAATTTCTTGACACTTACACCCTCCCAGGCCTAAACCAGGAAGAAGTTGAAACCCTGAATAGACCAATAACAAGGGGTGAAGTTGAGGCAGCAATAAATAGCCTGCCAACCAAAAAAAGCCCAGGTCCAAATGGTTTCACAACCAAATTCTACCAGACATACAAAGAGGAGCTGGTACCACTCCTTCTGAAACTATTCCAAACAATCCAAAAAGAGGGAATCGTTTCTAAATCATTTTATAAGACCAACATCATCCTGATAACAAAACCCGGCAGAGACTCAACAAAAAAGAAAACTTCAGGCCAATATCCATGATGAACATGGATGCAAAAATCTTCAATAAGATAGTAGCAAACCGATTGCAACATCACATCAAAAAGCTTATCCATCACAATCAAGTGGGCTTCATGCAGGGAATGCAAGGCTGGTTCAGCATACGCAAGTCTGTAAACGTAATCCACCACATAAACAGAACCAAACACAAAAAAACCACATGATTAGCTCAGTAGATGCAGAGAAGGCCTTTGACAAAATTTAACAGCCCTTTATGCTAAAAACTCTCAATAAACTAGGTATCGACGGAACGTATCTCAAAATAATAAAAGCTATTTACAACAGACCAACAGCCAATATCATACTGAATGGGCAAAAACTGGAAGCATTCGCTCTGAAATCTGGCACAAGACAAGGATGCACTCTCTCACCACTCATATTCAGTATAATATTGGAAGTTTCAGCCACAGCATTCAGGCAAAAAAATAAAAAATAAAAAAGAAATAAAGGGTATTCAATTAAGAAAGGAGGAAGTCAAATTGTCTCTATTTGCAGACGACATGATTGTATATTTAGAAGACCCCATCATCTCAACCCAAAATCTCCTGAAACTGATAAGCAATTTCAGCAGTCTCAGGATACAAAATTAAGGTGCAGAAATCACATGCATTCCTATAAACCAATAACAGACTAACAGAGAGTCAAATCCAGAATGAGCTGCCATTCATAGTTGCTACAAAGAGAATAAAATACCTAGAAATACAACTAGCAAAGGATGTTAAGGACCTCTTCAAGGAGAACTACAAACTACTGCTCAAGGAAATAAGAGAGGACACAAACAGATGGAAAAACATTCCATGCTCATGGTTTAGAAGAATCAGTATCGTGAAAATGACCATACTGCCCAAAGTAATTTATAGATTCAACACTATCCTTATCAAGCTACCTATGACCCTCTTTACAGAAGTGGAAAAAAAAAACACCTTAAACTTCATTTGGAACCAAAAGAGAGCCCGCATAGCCAAGACAATCCTAAGCAAAAAGAACAAAGCTGGAGGCATCACACTACCTGACTTCAAACTATGCTACAAGGCTATGGTAATCAAAACAGCATGGTACTGGTACCGAAACAAAGATATAGACCAATGGAACAGAACAGAGGGCTCGGAGGCAATGCCACATATCTACAACCATCTGATCTTTGACAAACCTGACAAAAACAAGCAATAGGAAAAGGATTCCCTGTTTAATAAATGGTATTGGGAAAACTGGCTAGCCACGTGCAGAGAACAGAAACCGGACACCTTCCTGACACCTTACACTAAAATTAACTCCAGATAGATTAAAAACTTAAACATAAGCCCTAACGCCACAAAAATCCTAGAATAAAACTTGGCAAAACAATTCAGGACGTAGGCATCGGCAAGGACTTCATGACTAAAATGCCAAAAGCATTGGCAACAAAAGCCAAAATAGACAAATGGGATCTAATAAACCTGCAGAGCTTCTGCACAGCAAAAGAAACAATCATTAGAGTGAAACGGCAACCAACAGAATGGGAAAAAATTTTTGCAATCTACCCATCTGACAAAGGGCTAATATCCAGAATTTACAAATAACTAAAACAGATTTACAAGAAAAAAACAAACCCATTCAAAAGTGGGCAAAGGATATGAACAGACACTTTTCAAAAGAAGACATATATGAGGCCAACAAACATATGAAAAAATGCTCATCATCACTGGTCATTAGAGAAATGCAAATCAAAACCACATTGAGATCACACCTCATGCCAGTTAGAATGGCGATCATTAAAAAATCTGGAGACAACAGATGCTGGAGAGGATGTGGAGAAATAGGAACAATTTTGCACTGTTGGTGGGAGTGTAAATTAGTTCAACCGTCATGGAAGACAGTGTGGTGATTCCTCAAGGACCTAGAAATAGAAATTCCATTTGACCCAGCAATCCCATTACTGGGTATATAGCCAAAGGATTATAAATCCTTCTATTATAAAGACACATGCACATGTATGTTCATTGCAGCACTGTTTACAATAGCAAAGATCTGGAACCAACCCAAATGCCATTGGTCATAGACTGGACAAGGAAAATGTGGCACATGTAAACCATAGTATATTATGCAGCCATAAAAAACAATGAGTTCTGGCCTTTGTACGGACATGGATTAATTGGAAACCATCATTCTCAGCAAACTGACACAAGAACAGAAAATCAAACACTGCATGTTCTCACTCATAGGTGGATGTTGAACAATGAGAACACATGGACACAGGGAGGGGAGCATCACACAATGGGGT